CCAGTTAAATGCTACGCACCTTTTCTTGGAGCGGTCTATAGCGTTGCAAAATGGAGGCAGAAGACCTTTTGGCTTGGACAACTGGTTCCAGTGACTTCAAAACAAGATATAAAATTGTTTGATTGGTTTTAAAATAATATTGCTTAATGTTTGGAGCAGAATCTATAGGCAGAAGTGGTAGTCTTCAATTTTGACCACAACAAACACGAGAGACTACAACACCCAGTAGCGTCTACACTTCTATAGATCTGTCATAGAAAACGCAAGGTTACAGTTGTTATTTACCGTCCTATGAGATATATCACAGCGGAGAATCGTTTCGACCCGTCTAAACAAAGATATTCGCTTTACTGTGGTGATTGCACTATTCCTTTGCTTCATTCTGTCTTTTCCTATGACAGCGACTCGCGCTCAGGCCTTGGAGTCACAAGGGGTTTCAAAACCTTGTACATTTGTAATGGTTCTACTTAGTCGGCTTTACCATGCACCGCGAAGCATGGGTAAGTGGAGCGAAACATCGACCCGCTCGTAAATGGAGCGACCGGGGCCTTCAAGAAGCTGTAAGTCTATCCTCAATACTTCCAGCAGATGATCTTATAGAGCTAAAAGAGTTGTTATTGGCAAAAAAGCAAGAAATAAGAATACGGTGAGGTCACCGAATTTGAACAATTGGTTACTAGAGGAGCTGAGCCCTATATCCGTCATAGATGGATCTATTATTGGATAGACATCATAAGGTCTGAGTGCAAGGACGTCGATAGCTTTCATTTATGTTACAGCGGATGCTTTCTATCCTCTGTTGAAAGAATGTTACGACGCGCCGACAATACACCTGACATGCGTGTTGTTCCCGGATAATTAAGTTTATCTAAGTTTGACTTCATCTTGTAAGTGGGATGGGTGAGAAACGGTAAACCTTCTCCCGGCGCGGACTTTCTGTGCTAACATGGCACATGCAAATTGTCTCATTGCGCTGAGTAAATCTGGCGGGCTGTCATGAAAGAGGTTGTAATGCAACAGCAACTGCCACATCCATCAGCGACATTCAATCGTCCGGTATCGTAGCTGTTAACGCCACATATTGTAAATCATCTTCGAAAATTCATGCGCTCACATTCGTGGAGAGCACGGAAAATCGGATATGGAAAATCGGCTATGGAAAATCACATGGATCACATGGGAAAAGTGCATAAATCGATGTGCTTTTATAAGTCCTCGTTGAAGAGACAAGTGGGTCTTTCAAACGGACGGGGGTGCTTTTATCTGTTGTTTCGGGAAGAAACATGGCCTGCGTACAGATCGCGTCAAGATAAAAGTCGGTGCTCCTGTCTTGA